GTGTCTTGCCTGAAGACAGGCACAATTCCTATTTGTAGCTTAGCTTGCTTTATTTGAGAGTCTGACATGTTGCGTTAATGCCAGGTCTGTGTATATGTTAACTGGGAACTCTAACTAGATAGTACAGCTTATGCTGGAGTCCTATTGGTTTTTCTTCAGTTTAACAATTACTCGGTATGTTTTTCCTCCTCTGTAGTTCTTAGAACTCCTAACTAAGCTTGTATTCTATTCTGTAGGCATAGTGCCACAGCCAAAGACTGTTGAGTCCAGAAACAGACATTGTTAGACACAATCAGCTTCATCATCTTGCTAGCGGTGTGATTTCTAGGCAGGTCTCAACTTCATTGAGGCCTCAGTTTTCTACCTTACATTATCCATATGATAGAGTTTTTATAAGGATGAACTAAAATGCCAAGACAAGCATTTTGTCCATGGAAAAACACTTCTACATCTAAGCTATTGTCTCCTACCTTCTACAAGTATCCACCTTGTTTCTGAAGAGCTTACTTTCTTCTGGTTTTCCTCCCCCCCCCCATTTTATTTTGTTAGCTCTTTCTGTTTTACTTCCAACCATTTCTCAAAAAGCATATATGCATGTGGGTGTCAACAGTATTTGAAAGCAGCCAGTTTCCTTTCTGGTTATTTTCAATACTTGTTTCTGATAAATGCTTCTTATTTTTTCATTTATAGAAATGTTCAAAAATGAAAAACATCAAATATAACAAGATGTGACAGAAGCCACTTAGGCAGCAAACATAGATGTTGCAGTGAAAAAGGAAGCTAGCCTTCTAACTGAAAAGCAAGTATTTCCCAACAGACTCCAGAAGAAACTTGACTCATCGCTGTAAACAAGAGAACAACCTTAAACGTTTTAACAGATAGAACTTAGAGAAACCTATGGTATAGAATTCCTACAGTCTATTCTGTTGTGTCTAAACCTGTATGTATTGCTTTGTTGTTACTTAGGAGATATTTATTTAAGGTGCACATTTTTGGGGGGGTTCTTATTTCTGCTACCAACAACTAAGTAATTGAGAAATAATTTTGTATTTCAGTTTCTGAGTAAAACCAGTCTGAAAGGGGATAAAAGCCCACCAAATATTTTCATTTTTTTCAGAATGTGTTTTGCCATTTTTAGTGCTATCATCATTTCTAACAAGACCTAAAGAAAAATAACTGTATCTGAGTGATTTAAAATGTCCAGGTTTCTTATCCACATCCCTTGGAACTGTGGAAAGGAGTTTGGCTTCACATTCAGTGTATTTATGAAATACACTGTGTGATGAATATGCTTGAATTTCAACAGCCAAAGCCATTGAGAATCATAGGAGTTTTTCCATAACCTTCTTTTTCATGCCCAACAAGTTCATGACTGAAATTTCACCAGATTTCTGAGATGATGTCTTAATATTTTATGTCCTGTATACCAGATAATTCTTTAGATGAATGTATATTAAGATTGTAGGAGAATTATCTACTTAATCATAACATTTGATGGAAGGAAAAAGGCAATAAAATTATAATGAGATATAATAAATTTGGTTGACAATAAACCAAAGCGATTCTTAATTAGTATACATTAGAATTATGTTCTTACAGTTGCATCATCTATTAAAAATTATTTTAAGGGCTCCAACATTTTGATAATTTATCTTATTATGTATTAAGCATACAAGAACAATATGATTTTTCCTCTAACAGAATGAAGAGACAGGCTATCTGGTTAATGTTACATAGGAATTTAATAGTAAAGCTTGAACTTCATCCATAGATCATACTCTGTACAAAATCTGTTAGATAACATCCTATCTCATACTTACTTTATGTATATGGAGAAATTTGTTGATTTTGTATCAAAATGTTTCTGAAGACAATAAATTGTGAGTCAACTTTTTAACAAAAGAAATACAGTTAGAGATTTTTCAATGTTTATATTCTGATTAAGCTTACTTTCCCTTATTGTTTTTCTTTTTAAATGATAACGAATCCTGATTTCTAATGTTCTAAAAATTGCTTTGTGATTTGATTGTGGTAATATCATTTCTTATCTACAATTTCTAGAATTTTATGGGATAGTTTTACTTTTATTTATTCTGCCTGTACAGACAAGAACAAAAACTTTTCTAAGCCCCACATTTGGTTATTGAAGGCCACAGAGAATCTTAACTCAACCTAACAACCTTGGCCAAATGCATTATGGGTGTTTTAGACTCACATAATTTGTTATTTTCAAATAATAGTGAATAATTAATATTTTTATTTGGAATATGAGAACAATTAAATTTGTAATTTTAGTAAGTACAACTCTTTGATTAGAGAATTAAGAGAATGCATATCTTACTTTGGTTGTAAATTATCAAGAGCTTTCTAATAGAAATCATATATAACATTTCTAAATATAAGTCCTTTCACATACTGCATTTCCAGTTGTCTTAATATTGAAAAGTGTAATAAACTTCATGTTCAACTATTGGAAATTTGGGAAGATTGAAAATAAATTTCCTAATTTTTATTTGGATGTGTTCTCTTCTATGTTTAACTCTAGAATAACTATCTTCCTGTAACAATTAAGTTAAAATATTCTTTAACTGGAATTGAAATCAACTGGTCACTAAGGAGGGAGCTGCTTGTTTTTTTTTTAAAGCCAGGAGAGAGATTGTCCTCCCTGTGTCCCCTCCATCTCCTGTGGACTTACAGTGCTGAGCTCAAGCATAATGACCAAACTTCACAGCATGGTCAAGCTGCAGAGATAGGTGCCAAGACTACCAATTATTAATACTGGCCTCTTCCTAATTGAATCAGTCAAGCAGTTTTGGAAAAGGCTGTCAGAAAGGAGTGAGAAATGGAAAGAGGAAAATGTGATTGTTGAGATGGGCTAGCTCAACTCTTATATCCAGGATTTTAATATAAAAACAGTTTAAGATCAAAGTCAACATGTAATGAGACTTATAGGTATTTATCCAACAGTCCTTGGTTCAAGTTGCCTCTAAAAGGAAGATAATGTGTAAAACTCTGGGGAGAGTCAGAATTAGGATCTAATTATAACCCCAGTAGGCTGAAATACTAAAAATGAAATCCAATGGAATAAAAGTATTCTTTTGATTTTACCATGAAAATATTTCCACAGTTGTAACACTTCTGACTGCTTCTAATTCTACTGCTGTGGTCCCAGCTTCAGTCATCTCTTTTGGATTATTGCAAAAGCCCTGTAACAATTCTTCTCATTCCTGCTCTTGCTACCTATCAAGCTATTCTGATTGTGAGAGCCAGAATGAACTATTATTATACACCACATATTTTAGAAAGGTGTACACAATCTATTCCCATTATCTCTCTGGATTCTTCTTATTCACTTTGGTCAAGTCATGCTGACCGTCCCATTTGATATGGTTTGGGTGTGTCCCCACCTAAATCTCATCTTAAATTGTAGTTCCCATAATCCCCACATGTCGTGGGGGGCACCCAGTGGGAGGTAATTCAGTCATGGGGGTAGTTTCCCCCATGCTGTTCTCCTGTTAGTGAATGAGTTCTCATGAGATCTGATGACTTTTATAAAGGCTTTTTTCCACTTTTGCTCAAAACATCTTGCTGCCACCATGTGAAGAAGGACGTATTTTCTTCCCCTTCTTCCATGATTATAAGTTTCCTGAGCCCTCCCCAACCATGCTGAACTGTGAGTCAATTATAAATTGACTTTATAAAGTCAATTTATAAAGTCTTTCCTTTATAAATTGCCCAGTTGTGGGCATGTCTTTATTAGCAGTGTGAGAATGGACTAATGCACCATTACTCATCAACCGGGCCAGGGCTACTCCTACCCCAAGGCCTTTGAATTTGCTGTTCTCCCCACCTGGAACACTTTTAGCTCACCTCTCCAAACAGGTCACTCCCATACTTCCTTCAGGCTTTTCCACATATTTCCTTCTCAGTGTGGCCTGCCCTGGCCACCCTAATCTCAAACTGTAACCTCAACTCCTCTTGGTCTTTCTATCTCCTTCCCTGCCTTAATTTTCCCTGTAATAGTTTATTCTATCTAACATAACAAATTATATATTTTACACATTTTTTTCTGTCTCTTTTAAACTAGAATGTAAACTCCCTGAAGGCAGGATTTCTTATTGGTTTCTGCACTACATCCAGGCACTTAGAATAGTGTCTGGCATCTATCTGGGACTCAATATATGTTTGCTGAGTGAACTGATTAAAGTAAGGAATACGAGAACTCAGGTCAGACTGCCCAGGTCTGACTACTGACTCCCTATTTACTGGATTGCCTGGGATAAGTTTGTGTGCCTCTTTCTGCTTCAAATTCATATATATATATATATATATATGAATTTAATCCCTATTATATATATATATATATATATATATATATAATAGGGATTAAAATAGAATCTACATTGTAGAGTTGTTGTGATAATTTAGTGAATTAATATATGTAAAGTGCTTTGAGCTTTGGCAAAAAGTAAGTCCTCAATACATTTATCTGTTATTATTTTATAATATATATCTGTTCTAAATTATATGTTAAATGTTAGATCAAGGCTTTTTAGTTTTGGAGTCTGGCATCTTTTTCTCTTTGAGTTTTCTCTTTCCCACTTCCACTGTTATGTGTCATGACAAATACTCATCTACTCCTTGTTATCTTAGCTGTAGTCCCCTAGAAGCACAGGTTAAGGGGGGAGATCTTTGTTCAGTGGTTTATTGGAGTATTCTTAGGAGAAACCTGTATGGAAGTGGAAGAAGCAGAGCAGGGCATGAGAATATCTAGATAAATATGTGGTTTCATGAGAAGTCTAACCTAATCTTTCCAGCCCGATCCTAAGGATATCCTGGAGCATGGATTATACTACTATGCTGATCCCTCAGCTGAACCTTTGAAAATTTGTTACAAAGTCAAGCAGCTTCCAAATTATGTACTATATGACAGGACAAATGAGTCCCATAGGTATATCCCACTGTTGCATCTCCCTTGTGATGAATTGTGTCACTTGATCAAATGATGAAATCACCCAAAATAGCTGGAATTACCGGCAGATTGTGTAGTGGTGAATTGTGTCACTTGGTCTGAGTTGATATAACAGGATATCATGTTGGGAGAACAGAAATTCTGTGACCCTTCTGTGGCAGAGCTGGCTGAGGCACTGTGGAAAGGGAAAGTAAACTAATACCTATAATATGTTTCGATTTCAGTTATGAGAAAGCATAGATTCTTCTGGGATCAAAGGGATTTAATGTAATAAAATTCTTACCAACTGACTGGATTGTTTCTTCAAGGATGGCACCTTATCAGGGAGAGGGCCAAACATAGGTCTTTGTGACAGGAAAGTTGAACCCTTAACAGTAACAGTAACTAGGTCAGCCTTTGTGAGAAAGTTCGTGCTGTTGGCCCATGACTTAGTCATATTTGCCATGATGGTTTCTCCACTCATGAGTCCTTTGTGTAAGTACTGGAATCACTAAAGACAGAGGCTAGTTGATATCTACTGATCGAGTCAACTTTCTAATTGATTTGATAGTACAGATGCTCTCTGATGAACACTAATGTGCTATACAAAATTTTCACACCTTTTCTCCATTTCCACAGGTGTAGTCATTCTCTTCTTCAGATATTTTTTTCCTTCATATTCAACTTTATCTGTATCCAAGTATTTGACTAACCAGCTAAGCCATTTGCTATTGAAGTGCTTGCCAAGGAATCTATGTTTATCCTGATTACAGGCTGTTTTTCTCTTTACACACAAAGTGGACAACCAGATGCATGCAACTCTGTCCACCGGGAGGATTTCAGTTCATCCTCGTCTTTCAGACCCTCTCCTAAGTGGGGCTTTCGTGCAACTGTAATCCATTTTGGGCCTCTGCTAATACACCAAGTTGACCCATCCATGAATGAATCCACTTCATTTTATTAATGTTTACAGAGAACTTCACCATGATCTCTGGAAGTGTAAGCTGAATTAAAAAATGCAGGTACAACAATGGTGGGTGAGTGACTTGAAGGTCTCATCAGTCACTCATTGGGATAGCTCATTTGTATCATCTGGACCTGCTCCACCCCAGTCCTGAATGTGCTGCATCTATCTTGCAAAGTGCTGCTGCTGCTGGGCTTACTTGATCTTATGAATTCATGCATCTGACCAGCTCAAGCAACCAGCTCAAGAGGGCAGCTTCGGTCATATGATTACACAATGTTCCATTGTCATATATCGGTTCCCTACTTGGTAAAGTAGCATGGTGACAGCTGCTTTTCAAATGTCGTGTAGTTCTGTGATAAAATGTTATGGCCATGTTCCAGGGATTGCACAGTAATTCTCCTGTTAGAGCTTGCCAGAGATTTTATTCAGAGCAGTATACTCAAGTGTGGCATAAACTGCCTATCCACCTCCAAAAGGCTTGCTAAATGCTTTCTTAGTAGAAAGAGGTGTAAAGTACATGCTATGGTCTGAATGTTGGTGTCTTCCAAAATTCATATGTTGGAAACCAATACCCAATGTGATAATGCTAAAATATGGGGCTTTACAGAAGTAATTAAGTCATGATGGTTCTACTCTCAGGAATGGGATGAGTTATCTTACAAAAGAGGTTGAAAAGTGTCCTTTCTCCCTTTTGCCATGTGAGGATGCAGCAAGAGGTGCATCTTTGAAACAAAGCAAGCCCTTATCAGCCCTCAAATCTTCTGGTGCCTTGATCTTAGACTTCTTAGCCTCCAGAATGGTAATACATTTCTATTCTTTATAAATTACCCAGTCTAAGGCATTTTGTTATAGCAATCCAGAACAAATAAAGACAGTGCCATAACTTGTTCTTGTCTGAGGAGATATCCTAGCTTCCTTAGCTCACTGGAATCCTAAAAATTTTATCCATATGGCAACATCTTAAATTTTTGCAAGGTTTATCTAACAGTCCCTGGATTGTATGTGTCTTATGAGGGAACCCATAGTTTTTACACCTTGTCAAAATAACGTAGTATTTTTCTAATAATGAACGATCATGATGTATTATAGCATTTCCAGGTGAACTTGGTCATTTGGACTCTGTAGTGGCAGAAGGCAGGAGAGTTAGAATTGCCCTGAGGTGAAATTGACATGAGAACTGTTTTTGATCCTTCTTGAAAGGTATTAAAAAGAATGAACTTGTCTGGTCTAGTAAATTTACTGGTCTGGTAAAAATACAGTACCTGTTATTAGGGCCACTACTTAGCTAAGTTTCCTGTCAGTTACATAATATATCAAGTTTTTGTAGGGACCCGCTGCTAAATTAAATGTAAATATGACAGAGTCCATCATCCATGAATTCTTTAATTCTTTGAGGGTAGCAGTGATTTATGCCAATATACTTAGAATACAACATTTGTTTTATATTTATTACTTCGGCCAGGAGTAAATAAAGGTAATTTCATTCAGCTCAGCTTTTTTTATTATAATAGCCTTTCACCACAAACCAAGAAACCATTGTTATGGTTCCAAGAGACAATATATGTGTCTGTTTTGATTATAACCTGAGAAATGAGGAAATGATCATGGGTAGGGTCTGTAAAACCAATGCACCCAATGTGAGATGGACCTGGCCAAGGAGATTCATTATTATCTGATCCTCAAATGCTCCTATCAGAGAGAATTTGTACTGAGTATTTATGAAAGTATAAATCTAAGCACTCTTTACATAATTATTACAATTGTTTATCATGTATTCTGTTATTAATGTGCCAAAGTGGTACTAAAGAATGGGAGCTAGATACATACCCCTTTAGGTGACTAGCAAGTTACTTAAGCTGTTAAGCTGTGGGACCCTAGTCCCTGTGGCTTGTGTTTGCTGATGTGATCATCACTCAACATATTCCTGTCATTTCTTGAGAACAGTGAAATGATTGAGCACATAAGAAGCTGCCACTTGGTGTCTGAGCCCTCCAGGACTTTCTTGCCCTACATAGTACTTGCTATCTGTTTCATACCCTTTATTAAAGCTAAGCAAACTTAGTGCTTGGTAAACATTTTGTTTCTTGTATGTTTGATTGACAGTATGAATGTAAAACTCATTCTAATGGTCTTGTTTTTGCAAGAGTACAAAATAAATATAAAATACTAGAAATGATTAATATGGTTTGGCTGTGTCCCTACCCAAATCTCATCTTGAGTTTCCATGTGTTGTGGGAGCGAGTCAGTAGGAGGTAATTGAATCATGGGGGCAGGTCTTTCCCATGCTGTTCTTGTGAGAGTGAATGAATCTCCCAAGATCTGATGGTTTTAAAAAGGGGATTTTCCCTTCACAAGGTCTCTTCTCTTGTCTGCCACCATGTGAGATGTGCCTTTCACCTTCCACCATATTTGCGAGGCCTCCCCAGCCACAAAGCACTGTATGTCCAATAACCCACTTTCTTTTTGTAAATTGCCCAGTCTCAGTTATGTCTTTATCAGCAGCATGAAAATGGACTAATATAATGATGAATATAATAACTAAAAAACAAACAAACAAACAAACCCAGATTAGACACAGCAGAAGAGAAAGTTCCTGAGATGGTAGACCTTAATTAATTACCCAGAATGCAGCAAGGAAACAAGACAGTGAAAACTATTAAAGAGGTGTTAAAAAACACTGAGAAGAGTTTAAGAAGGCAGAATATTTTCTTAATTGGAGGAATAGTAGGAGAAATTCAGAGAGTGGTGCAAGGCAGAAGTAATATTCAAAGAGCTGATGCCTGAGAACTTTCTAGAAATAATAAAAAATACAAAATTTCAGATTTAGAAAATACAGTGGCATATTTCAAGAAGAATAAAGGAGTAATTTCCTGACAACTCATAGTGAAATTTCAGAAGGAGAATATAAAACAGGACTGGGACATCAATTAGACAAACAGTTGACTTTTCTAAGCCTAATACAAAAGCTGGAAGATGAGGTGCCAAGGGGAAAAGCTGTCCAGTGAGAACCGTTAATCTAGTTAAAAGATTTTCAAAATTAAAAACTAAAAATAAACAAACCTAGATTGGACACAGCATATTAAAAAAACAGATAAACAAAACCGAGGAGGCTTGCTGTCAATTGAATTCTTGGTAAAAGAATATCTAAAGAGTATACTCAAAGAAAAAAAATAAGTCCAGAAAAAAAAATCTGATAATCAAGAAGAAGTAGAATATTAAAAAATAATTACAGACTGGAAGGTATTTGCAATATATATGACCGATAAAAGAATGGTATCCAGAATGTATAAAAGGCTCAGACAAGCCAATCTGAAGAAAGTGTAAAGAACTAAGCAGGAGCTTCATAAAAGAGGATGTTCAAAAGGATAATGAACTTAAAAATCTGTTCAAAATCACAGCGATCTTTAGGCAAATGCAAATTGAAACTACCACAAGATATATCATTATAATCCTACCAGATGGCTAAACGTTTTTTTTTAAATGAAAAGAACAAGTTTTGAATAAAGTATGGAGCAGCCAGAACTCTCACATATTACCGGTGGGAGTTTAAATTGATAAATTTATTTGGAAAACTGTTTGGCACTGTCTATTAAAGCTAAACAGACACCTACTCTATGACCCAGAATTTCTACTTGTGTGAATCCAACAAAACTAAATGTGTTTAGCTTCGTATCAATAAGACATGTACAAAGATACTGCTAAAGGTTTTATTCAAACTAGTTTCAAACTGGAAACAACCCATGCCCAGGAGTAGTAGAATAGACAAATACATTGTAGCGTAACCATGCAATGGAAATTGATGTAGCAACGAAAAAGGATAAACTACACAAAAATGCAACAGCATGAATATATTTAAAAACCATAACCATAACAATGAGAGACAAAATAGTATTTACTGTATGATTTGGTTTATATAAATATTAAGAAAAGGCAACAGTGCTTTAAGATAATAGAAAGAAGTATGACATTTGCATTTGGTTTGTTTATGACTGGCTGGGGAGGCACACAAGAGGTCTCTGGGGTGCTAAGAATATTCCATTTATTTATTTATTTATTTGTTTGTTTTTGTTTGTTTTTACCTGGCCCTGGCTGGTGATCTTCTGGGCCTTCCATTCTGATCCCTCTTTCTGTCCTAGTGGAACTTGGCAAGTTTCCATT